GACTTCACACATTACGTAATCTCGTTGGGAAAGGTCACGCTTGCTGTAGAAAGAAAATGTAGAGAAGGGTGAAAAATCTCCATCTCATTTTATCCTCCAATTTAAAAATCGTCCAACATCGTTGTTTTACCTTTTATTTATTTTTGTAAATGGCGTTTGACTTAGTCTTTGCACGTTCGCTTTGTAAACACTAGGTTTGTACTTCCGCCTACGTCCCGCTTGACCTTTCAATGTGATTATTTAATGTGTGGCGCATCACAGCTAGTGCAAGACAAGCATTTGTGGATAAAAAGTATATAAATGTTTATTTTATTTTAGAAAGTGAACTATGTTTTGGCTAGATAAAACCCTTATTCCTCGGCTGGGATCGTGTCGAGACTTTAAAGCTGCATTTTGGACCAGTTGGACCCCATTGAAGTCACTTTATGGAAACGAAGCAAAATCTATATCTACATCTGTGGAGCGATATTTCTTTTCCTAGGATGGTAGGAGAACACTCATAAATGGTATTAACCCCAGTGACGGGTAGGTTTAGGGACGGGGTTGGGGTAGGTCATATATCTATATATACATAATACAGTAATATAACATTAAAGGTGCTCTAAGCGATGTCATGTGTTTTTTAGGCCAAAACATTTTTTGTCACATACAGCAAACATCTCCTCACTATCCGCTGGCTGCCTGTCCCCTGAACACACTGTAAAGAAACGCGATCTCTGTAGACAGCCCAGGCTTCACAAACAGCACCAAAAACAAACTGCAGCGACCCGCTCCCCAAAACATAACAAACTGTTCCAGCCAATGACCGACAAGAAGGGTTTGGGGGTGTGGTTTGGGGGGTTAGTGTGCGGATGAGGAGGAGGGAAGGTCTAGCTAGCCTCCGTTTTGTTTGACAATAGTTCGAACGTCAACAAGAAGTGACGTCACCCAGGATCGCTTAGAGAACCTTTAAGTCAAAGGCGTTGATAAACACGCTGAAAAGCGATTATGCGTGTTGATAGCACGCCAAAAATGGAAATACGAATTGGCGTGTCATACATAAGCCATTTCATGAGATCAGTCTGTATATGGAGAAAAATCCTGGAATGTTTTCCTCAAAAACATTAATTTCTTTTTGACTGAAGAAAGCCATGAACATCGTGTATGACGTTGGGGTGAGTAAATTATCAGGAAATTTTAATTCTGAAGTGAACTAATCCTTTAATTGTCATTAAAATAATACAATAATAGAAATAATAAATGGCCTTATGCAAAGAAAATTTGTACAATTTGACCTAAACCCGAGTATGTTACAGGTCGACCTCTGAATAGTCCTCCAAAGCCTGTCAGAAATGGGGACGGCGTGTTGCGCAGCATCAGCACAGAATGTACAGATTTCTCCTGGATTCCTACCAACCGCTGACAGTAAACAACATCCGTTAGCAGCATAACATCATGCAGATGTTACACATGTTTGAAGGCCTTATCAGTGCCTGTGCGTAGACTGGGTCACAGCTTCTGCACATCACAAGATAGGAAACACATGCTAACATCACCTAATCAGACTGAAAAAACAGCTCAACTTCTGCTGGCAAGCGTATGATGAGGAAACAGTGGCATTGAAAACAAATATTTAGGAACTGGACAGTATTGTTGCCACGATATCAAAATTACGACTTCGATGAGATACCCGACTAGAATTGCGCGATTACCAATACTGAATCAATACCACAGCAAAGAAACTAAAACTAAAGTAATTGAATAAAATGACAACTTAAATTTCATTGTTTTATTAATTGACTTTAAAAAAACAATATCCCATTCGGAAAACTTTCACAATTCTGCGCAGGTTAGGCGATATGACCAAAATGTTATATATTTTTTATATATTAAAATTATTTTATCTTTTATCTTTAAAATAAGCAAAGACGCAAATTACAATCAATATGACAAATATAATATAAGAAAAATACAAATTAAATAAACTTCTTTTTTCAAGTGGCTGATGTAGGTCTATTTAACAGTAGCGTTAAGAAATTAAATGTAAAAAAAGCACTGCATAGTCTTCACTCTATAAATTAACTAGAGGGTGATTTTCTCTTTTCTTTTGTTGTTTAATTAACATTAAAGCCCCTTTCACACAGAGATTCCGGAAAATACACGGATAATGTGTCCCGGGATCGTTTGATTTTGGTTCATTCACACTGCCAGTGATTTTCCGGAATCTGTGAGTGCGTTCACACACACCCGTAAAGATCCCGTAAAGACACGTGACGCCAGGATGTGATAATAGGCATCGATCCCGGGACGTGTTTGCGTTCACACAGAAGGCACTCTAGCAATTTTACAGCAATTTCCCGGGATCAACGCGCTGTGTGAAAGGGTCTTAAATCACAGACAGCCACAGGTTTATTAGGCTGCCGTCCCTTTAAGACCTGACGCAAGGATCCAATCCATTAGAACACACCGGATTTCTTTCTTACCCGTTTATGTTTATAGACATAACCGACTGTGTTTGCGTGGATACTCACCAGGACGCATATTTTACAACATATTTTTGAACATTCAAGCGCAATAATCTTTGAAAGAGAACTGAATCCACGATCACATGCTGTCTGAAAGGCAGCTTTCTGCGTGCGCGTCAGGCCTGAGAACGGCAGCGCTTTGAGCTCTTTTTCGAGGCTTATTGAGCACAATAACCGTTTTAAACATCAAACGCTCTTTATTTCTCATGCAGCTCTTATTTAGATTGCAGTCAATCTTAATGAACTGGTACTGATAAAATATGATGAACCGTTTTTAATAGCAGGGAATCGCGAAACCTTTCCAATACTGGTATACCGTGCAACAACTGGACAGACAGTGCATTGGGGAAATTTGATGTGAATTTTTTTTTCTTTCCCAAGCACAAAACCATGTCACTTGAGTCAGAAACTAATACTAATATAACTTTCCAAATGTTTTACCAATGAAAAGGTGATTTTAACCACAGTATAAGCAAGTGTAAAGTGGTTTGCTGGACGGAAAACTAAGTGCAAACAGCTAATGCTAGGGGTTTCCTCCGAACCACACTTTGAGCTATTCTTGCAAAGAACGTTTAAACCAGCAGCTAGTCAAGGTGAATTTTCAATTCCCTTCACAAAGCCTCACAATGTTTTCTTCATTTCTATTCTGTGAAACATATGAAGATTAAAAGCCATAGAAACCGTCATTGTTTTGAACTCCACTGACTTTCACTGTAGCCTAATTTCAGTTCCTATAATATTTTATTTTGTGTTATGCAGAAGAAAGAAATGCCATTCATAATTGAACGACATGAGGGTGAATAAAGGATAGCAAACTTTTACCCCTTGAACTATATTTTGAGCTTGAGTACAGAAGAGTTTAGCTACAAACCTACTCAAACACACCTGGACCAAGGTGATCAGGATCACTTCACTACTATATCTGGCAGGGTTCCAGACTGCGACCAAATTGGACCAATGCGACCATTTTTTGAGAATGTGCGAGAATGTATAAAAATTAAAAGGTCTCACGAAACACCGAGCCCCTTCCTACGTCTTTTCAGCGGTTATATTTTCCTCTGTCGAGCGATTACTCTCATGATCGCTCGACAGAGGAAAAGGAAATTATTATAAAATGCAGAAGGAGTGTGAGATTTCTGCTTTTTGTTGCAACTATAAACTTTGATAACGAAAAATCTGTATCAGTTTATTATAATACTCTAATCTTTTAAAATGTAATGCATACATTTTAATGTTTAATGATTTTTAAAAGATAGAAAGATGATAACAGACAGACAGACAGACAGACAGACAGACAGACAGACAGATAGATAGATAGATAGATAGATAGATAGATAGATAGATAGATAGATAGATAGATAGATAGAATATAATTCAAATGTAAATAGATAGATTGTATATCATTCAAATGTAAAATGCTTAAAATTACAGATTAAAATTACTGTCCAAAATCCATGAAAATCCTGAAATTTGGCAATGATAATTAATATATTACAGGTATTTCTGCTGCAACCCAGAAAGCCTTTGTTAGCCTTGGTTCATTAAAACCACCATTCATCAGCATGCATTGATTAATCCCATGGCATATAGCAAAAAAAAAAAAGAAAAAAGGTGCGACCAAATCATATGCTGGTGCGACCAACTGAGAAAGTTGGTAGCACCAGTGCAACCAGTGGAAAAGTTAGTCTGGAGCCCTGTCTGGCTAAATTAGTCATGTAAAACAGGCTTATGGTATTTAGCTCGAAACATCTGGTATAATATGATTTGCGTGTGTAAATAAAATACGAGCAGCGCTTCCCAAACCGGTCCTGGAAGCCTTTTTGGATATCAATGCAATGTAAATGAGCTGCTGATTTTAATTGGGTCAGATGAGTAAAATTAAGCGACATCCAAAATGTGCAATTCTGGGGCCTCCAGGACAGGTTTGGGGGAAAACTACCCACATAAAACAAAATACGGTAACACTTTACAATAAGGTTCATTAGTTAATGTATTAACTAACATGAACTAACAATGAGCAATACATTTGTTACAGTATTTATTTATTAATCTTTGTTAATGTTAGTTAATAAAAAAGAGCTGTTCGTTGTATGTTCATGTTAGTTCACAGTTAACAAATACAACCTTTGATTTTAATAATGTATTAGTATATGTTATAATTAATATTAACTAATATTAATAAATGCTGTAGAAGTATTGTTCATTCTTAGTTCATGTTAACTAAGGTAGTACTAATGTTATTGTAAAGTGTTACCAAAACACACACACACACACACAAAGTAAACTCCACCTAGGACAAAATAAACTCCTACAACAGGACATGTTTTCAAAGGTACCATGCTTTCAAAAGTTATTCAAGAGTAAATACTAAATTAACAGTAAATAATGTAACACCTGCAAGAACTGCAATAAAATGTGGTTTACTTGACAATTTTGAAAAAAAAATTTGAAACTATTGTCAATAAAACCTGAGCAACATGAAGCATAAAGGTTTACCTGTCCTCATCCCCATCAATGTGAATAGCTATTCCAAACAGGCTGTTGACAGCAGGCGTGGGAAGCTGCAATCCCTCGGGATTCAGGGGTCTGATGGCATCTCTTCCCAGGAGAACCGAGCTCTGGAGCAGCAGCTCAGTCCTCCTCCGGTTCTCACCGGCCAGCCCGACGCCACCGGGAAGCTGGCTAAAGATAGAGGGGTTCATCTGAGCCCCCAGTCCTGCTGCCGAACCGCTCGGGACTCCCTGAGGCTGGTTCTGCTGGGGCGGTACAACAGGGACCGGGGTCTGGTTTGGCATGCTCTGGGGGGTATTAGAGGCACTGGGCAGAACAACAGGCACATTTTGCACACCAGGGACCACAGCATGAGTTACTGCTGGCTGAACGAGCGGCACTGGTGCCTGTGAACCCGCAGATGTGGCTGATACGGTCCCTAGAGCGGCGCTGATGTTGGACTGGGGTAAAAGCCCCTGAACATCCACCGGCTGAGGAACTAATCCCAGCACATGAGTGCTTCCCGCTGCGGGAGTCAAGACCGGTGACGGGCCCTGGGTCACTGAAGAGCCAAGAGGCTGATTCTGTAACCTATAGTCAGCCTGATTAGACGGGATAACAGTCTGAAGCATCTGGCCAGGTTTCTGTGCCTGTTTACCAGGGTAAAATGGCTGTGGTTGAGCTGTAGAAGGCATGCTGGGAGATTTAGCATGGGCATCACCGAAAAGGTTCTGGGCTACAAGCCCTAATCCCTGCTGCAAAATCCCAAAAGTTTGCTTTTGAAGCTCCACAGGAGGGTTTGATGGTGCAGATCCGTAACCACTGTCCGTATGCGGTTCTGTGAGGGTTGAAAGCGCATTATACGCCGCCACCGAACCTCCTAGGCCGTCTCGGTCCGCGCTGTGGTCCCCGGTGCCGGCGTGTTGTTTAACGTTATCCGCAGTCCGAGCAGACGAGGAAGCATCCGTATCCCGCTCATAAAACTCAGTGCAAGTCCACCTACCTCTTTTAAAGGGTTCACCTGTACCATGATCCAATTTGATGACCCTGAACCGGGAACTGCAACCACTTACTGTGGCAGAACTGCTAACTGATGTTGATGATGCCTGGGACGTGCTGTTAGATGCAACTGAAGGTGAAGTCTGGGATGGGCTCATTTGGCCAGCTGTCCCACTGACTGCACGGACATTAGGGTTTACGTGAACAGCACTTGTGTTACGAGAGCCAGGTAACGTTACGGCACCATCTTGCGCGCTCGCGGTTTCAGCATCATTATGCAGCGGTTCGTCCGTCAAACTGACGTCACACGCCTCCGGCTCGAAATCGCCACATTTGGACATGTCGTACATCTCAGAGGAGGACATGTCCTCAGTTCTGGACTCGTCCGGGTCGTCCAAACTCTCGGTGTCGTCCGTGATGCTGTTCGTCCCCACCTGCGCCTGCGTTACGCTCGTGATCTGGAAACAGCTCTTCTTTTTCGACGGCATTTTAGACATTTTGACCGCTTGAAAGTGTGTCACTGCGACTTCGACACGTCAGACTAAAGCGTACAGCTCCAAGTTAAACGGAGTAACTCCTCTTATATGAAAATGTCATGTAATTCTCAGTTAGCGTCACGCGCTAACTCAAGCTTCCCTCCGAGCTCCCGTCAGCGCGCGTGCGTCCTCATCGCGGCATTTTTTGTACTTTTAATCCGTTAAATTGAAACTCACGAAGCTCCAAACACAATGACAGCTTAATTCCAGGTGTGTTTAATCCCTCCAAGCCCGTCTCCGTGTTATCCGAGGCCTAAATGAAGGCCATGTCCGGGTGTGAGAGTTTCCCTCAGGCCGCTCGCGCGAATGAAACTCCAGTCGCCGGACTCACTCGACTCTGAGACGCCTTCAGTTTTCAACACTCCCCCGTCTTCAAAAGCACATATCCTCCACGAAACACACTGGATATACATCTTGACACATGATAACACATGTTTACCATCCGTTTCTGGCGTTGATACAGTCTGTGGAGGGTAGACTGGGTGTGTTTGTGTGTCTGTCGAGCTAACGGCTGCTCTCTCTCTGCTGCCGTACACAAGATGGCTAACGCTACGTTGCGCACGCGCGGGACTATGGGTGGACTGCGCACAGGCGGACGTAAGTGCGTCGGGAATACCGATCGCTACGCAATATTCTTGTTTTCTTGTCAAAATAAATGTTAGGGGGAATCAGACGGCATACATACTTTTTCCACACATCCCAAAAGCTTTTTATTACACTTTTTCTTCTTGGACTCTCTGATAATCTTATTATTTTAATAACTAATTAATTTAATTGTTTTTTCTCCTTTGTAAAGTGATTAAAACCAGCACTATAATATAATATAGCCTAATAAATTATGTTCGCCTGTGTACAGTGATTACAATCTGCACTGTAAATATAATATAATAGCTAAATATAATAATACAATATAATATAATTATTGTTCTGTGAACACTGTTTAAAATCCTCACTGCATCTATAATAATATATTATAATTATACATACATATGCTGTTTCATTGTTTCCCTGTGACCTAGCGTCTCTGTGTTGTTGATTAGTCATTATATTCACCTGTTGTCTCATCAATTAGCTTATTAGTTCCCTTTGTTTCCTCCGTGACCCCGTGTCCTCCCTCATTCTGTCCGTTTTCATCAATGTTACGTTGTGTCTGATCTCCTGAGTTTGATCATTAAACACTATTATACTTAATCTCCTTCGTCGTCGTGCATTTACACAACCGACCCGTGAATAATACAATATAATATAATATAATATAATATAATATAATATAATATAATATAATATAATATAATATAATATCATATAATACAATGTAATGTAATGTAATGTAATGTAATGTAATATAATAGAATAAAAAGTGTTCCGTGAACAGTGTTTAAAATATGCACTGCAAATATTATATTATAATATAATATACAATATAATATAATAATTAGCAGTTTTTAAAATATGCACAAATATAATAATATAATATAATATAATTAATATAATATAATATAACAATTATTGTTCTGTGGACAGTTGTTTAAAATCTGCACTACAAATATAATATAATAATATAATATGACATAATAATGATTGTTCTGTGAAAAGTGTTTAAAATCTGCACTGCAAATATAATATAATAATATAATATGACATAATAATTATTGTTCTGAGGACAGTTGTTTATAATCTGCACTGCAAATATAATATAATATAGCCTAGTGTAATGTAATGTAACGTAATATAATTTATATTATATTACGTTACGTATTTTAAATGTTTTTAAACATATTTTAAACATAGGCTATATATATAAAATTATATTATATTTCAATATTTTGTTTTGGTTTTTCCATCCAGACAGGGTTGTTTTGCTATTTACATATCTTACATTTCTGCCATTTATTTTAGTTGAATGCTGTTTGCTAACTCTGAGTCACACACAGGGGGATTGAGTGCCTCATGTAGGCTACTTCTGGAAAGCAGACAGGACACCACCAAATAGGTTTTCCGTTCGTTCTGGTGAAAACATAAATCATTTTTATATTACTTCACTTTTAATAGACATTGAAATAAACATGCAGACCTAAGGACGTGATTTCCAAAAATAATGCAAATGCTATTAACTGATGTTATTCCATCTTGTTTTAATTCATGCGTAACTATAGATTGATTGATTTTTGCCCAGTCATTCTTCAAGCATTTAAATCATGTTACGAAATACAATTTCTTCTTTGTTTAGCCTTTCGGGAAAGGTTCACGCAGGGGGCGAGGAGGAATGCGGCGAGTGTAGACAGAAACATATTTGCCGGAGTTTGTTTATTAGTTCAGCTCATTATTTTAGGCATGAGTCTATTCCAATAAGTAGAGGAGGCTGTGTTTGTTTTGCATGCCTTTGAGTGTGACCATCCTCTCCGCTTCCCGATCCACAGACCAGTGGAAAAGCGAGCAACACACTGAAAGAAACACTTGTAAAGCTTCTTTACATGAGAAGACACAGATGTAGCTTTCTAGAGTAACTCCTTTCTAGAGTAAATAGTTGATTCAACGGTAAATCCTGAAGGAGAATAGTGTTTATGAAAGTCCAAAATATCAACAAAAGTTGCTTGGGAATTTGGTGTCACTCAGAAGTTACACAACATGCGACTGTTTGTTGTCTCTGCCTCCGTCCCGTGGCGCACGGGACACGCGTGTTGTTTTAGCTGGCTGTCCTGAAGTCCTCAATCCGGTCCGCGCTTTGCCACACGAGGGCTTTGAGTCGAGCGGCTGGAGCAGGTGCTGTGTGTCACGTCCAGACAGAGACACTGTCTTTGGTTTGCACTGCGGTCTCATCCGGTTCATACAGCTTTTAATATACAAAAAAAGGTTTGGAGGGAATTTCTCTAAATTTAAAATCTAAATGGGAAGATCACTGTAAAGAAAGAAAAAAATGTCTGTCTTAAATTTTTAAGTAGCATCAACTTAGGTGTTTGAGTTATTTCAACTTACTTTAAAAAACGCGTTGAATCTTAACAAAAAAAAGTTACATTTTGATCAAATTTTGATGAGTTTCATCATATTTTTTTGATCACTGTAAAACATGTGTTGTCATAACTTATTGATCATTTTTTTCAGTGTGACAACAGATTCGGAGTTGTTCAAAGTTAAAGGGTTAGTTCACCCCGGCCAAAAATGAAAATTATGTCATTAATGACTCGCCCTCATGTCGTCCCAAGCCCGTAAGACCTCCGTTCATCTTCAGATATTTTAGATTTAGTCTGAGAGCTTTCTGTCCCTCCATTGTAAATGTGTGTACGGTATACTGTCCTTGTCCAGAAAGGAAATAAAGACATCATCAAAGTAGTCCATGTGACATCAGTGGGTTAGTTACAATTTTTTGAAGCATTGAAAATACATTTTGGTCCAAAAATAACCAAAAATACGACTTTATTCAGTATTGTATTGTCTTCCGGTTCTGTTGTCTTTATTTCCTTTCTGGACAAGGACAGTATACCGTACATACACTTCCAATGGAGGGACAGAAAGCTCTCGGACTAAATCTGAAATATCTTAAACTGTTTTCCGGATGGAGGTCTTACGGGCTTGGGACGACATGAGGGGGAGTCATTAATGACATAATTTTCATTTTTGGGTGAACTAACCCTTTAAATCTGGATGACGGTGTCGGGGTTTTTGACTTGTGTCAGTGAATAGTTTTTTTTAAAGATTATGAGAGTGTTTGGTTAGTTTTAGGCCAAAGTTCTGTGGTTGTAAATGGAAAGTGAACATCCTGTACGTCTACTGAAACCAGACGTGTTTTTGAGAAGGAGTCCAAGTCAAATTTCATGTCTTCCAAGGCCAAGTCTCAAACATCTCTTTTGATGATGCACCTGCAGGTTAGTTTTACAAATCTACAAAAATATCAAGATTTCTAAAAGGGTTTTCCTTGTTCATTTCCTGTAAAGTCACAACTTTGATTCCAAGTGTGGACTTTCAGGTGCACAGAAAACAGTATCAGCAGTAAAAACAATAAACACATTTGAACTAAATCCCACATGTTTGGAAAGGTTTAGAGGAGGAAATCCCTGATTTATGACTTATAGAATTAATTCAAAGAAACAAATCAATTAATTCTTGAAATTGCTGACATTTGCTGCAGTTTTGCTGGTGCTAAACACATTGTAAATAAATACAGTGCTGCTTGAAATCTGTAAAAATGTGTATAATTTTAACAAAATAAAAGGGATCATACAAAATGTTTTGATTTAGTACTGTCCTGAATAAGATACTTTACATAAAAGATGTTTAGTCCACAAGACAAAAAGATAGATGAATTTATAAAAAATTACCCCGTTGATAAGTTTATGAACGCTTGATTCTCAATACTGTGTCGTTACCTGGCAATTCTTCCAGTTTCCAAAACATTTATAAAAATGTATTATAATTTTTAAATGAATTATAAAATTATGCAGGTTTCAAGCATCTTTTGCATATTTGAACCCTTTCCATCATTAGGCAAAAGCCCGGGGTGAAAACTTTTTGAATTTGAAGATCAGTGTAAATTGTACTTAATTTGTCCTCCGGGAAACAAGTATCTTCTGTTGCTTCAAAGGGCCGTATACTAAATAAAAAAAAAATATATATTTAAACAAGGTGAGACAAATTTGGACATCTTCATCCTTTTCAAAAGTTTTCACCCCCGGCTCTTCATGCATCTGAGCATCAGTGAGTGTGTGAACCTTTTTTACTCGCTTGTTTGAGTCCCGGAGATCCTTGTTGGATCTCAAAACCACACCGTCACTTCTGGTTCACATGTGCAACAGATGCTGGAAAACTGGAGTAATTTTTATAATTCATTTAAAAATGATAATACATTTTATACATGTTTTGTCTTGTGGACTATATGTAAACATTTTTTATATCTTATTCAGGACAGTACTAAGTCAAAAATAACATACATTTTGTATGATCCCTCTTATTTTGTTAAAATTATTCACATTTTCACAGATTCTGCAAGGGGTTCACAAACTTTCAAGCAGCACTGTGTATATTTATATATTTATATTTATATATTTTAACTAAAACTCTCAGTAACTATACAATTTCCAGTTAAACTTAAATCTAATAGTTTAAACACTTAGCCTAATTCAAAGCTGTTTTAAAAATAGATTGCTTTTGTGAATTATATTTTCCAAATTGACAAAATCGTCATATTTTTGCTGTTAAAATCAAAGACTGACAAATAAACTCAACAGTATATAACACTGAAGAACACTGTCGCACTACAGTATCAATGCGAGGGCATTTGCACAAATAGGCCTACATGTCAAGCTTTGAATGTTATGATGTTAGTTATTAATTATTAAAATGTACAAATTGTTGTTCAAAATAATGTTTGATTTTTTAAAAAACTTTTTTAAATGTGATATTATACTTTAGCTCTATTAATGAGCTGTTTTGGGCTTCTTTGTTACTGTTTAACTGTTGACTGAAACCCAGACACTGGTGTAATGGCAGGTTCAGTGACTGTTGTCACTCATGTAAAATCATATCTGTAAAACACATATATGTCAATAACTCTGAAATCTCACAACATAGATCATATATTTTATTTTATTGTTGCTGATCTGCACATTTGATGTGCAAGCTTTATTCACAAGAGGTCGCTAGCGCAGCATTACGGAAGCGTATATTGCATTCACTTGAGGAAAAAAATCTACTAATATCTACTCAAATCTACTAGTTAATATCTCAGAATTATGAGATACATTTTTCTTGAAAAACATTTTTTTCACTCTGTTTTTATGAATTAATGAGTTTTTTGAGATAATTAAATCATTAATTCAGAAAAACAGAGCAAAAACATATTTTTTACATGAAAAAATATCTCGTAATTCTGAGATAATTAACTCGTTAATTCAAAAAGAGTCGATTTTTTTCCCTCAAGTGAATGCAATACGCTTCCGTAGTTTTGTGTTTGAGAAATCCTGGAGACACTTTATGGTCCCATTCCCAGGGAATGCAAGAAAAAAAATGTGAATGTAAATGTGTACCTTGAAATGCAATGTAAGTCGCTTTGGATAAAAGCGACTGCCAAATGCATAAATGTAAATGTAAATGTAAATGGTCCATTAGCACATTCAGTTGACTGTGAGTAACTTTGCATTCATGAACACTAACTAACTTGTAATTAGATTATATTAAATTTTAAAATACTCGTAATCAGACTACAGTTACTTTTTTATTGCTTACATGTTATTTTCACAATGGCAGTAAATTATTCATAATTCATTTATTCTTCCAACTACTTCCTTTTTATCTTTTAAATGTTCCTTTCTAAAAACGTCACTGCTTATATACGTTCAGAAGGTTTTCCAGGTTTGTGGAATCACACACACACACACACACCATCAGACACTGGTCATGTCACTATCACACACTGGTCATGTGACCATCACACACTGGTCATGTGACTATCTCTGAAAACTGAGACCCACAGCATTTGATCACTGAAAACAAGTGTTTTCGCAACATTGCAAATCTAGTCAGCTCCACATTAATTATTATTTGAATTATCACTCAGTGAGTCATTTAACCATGTATTACTGTCTTTGGAAGGATTTTGTCTTTCAAACACGTTAAAATCTTCAAAACATAATTTCAGCTATGCAATGCAGGGATTCCCCAACTTTCCTGTCAGCAGCAATATTTACTTGAAGTAACCCCAAAGACTTTAAGATAATAAGTTAGGTCAAGAATAATAATAAATACGAAGACAAACGAAGTTCACTGTTCTCTGATGTCGGTTAATGGTCACATGACGTGCAGATAAACAAATGTTTTTTTTAGTAAATGTTTTATTTTTATTTAAAATTTTTTTTAATTTTCATTAAACTCACAAATCCTCTGCAGTTCCATCACGAACCGCAGTCTGTAACGATAAGAGTAATTTAATATTTAATGCACTTGATAACAAAGAATGGAATATATATATTTTTCTCTTTGTTTTTTATATGGTACAAGTTCATCTATTCAAATCAATGGGATAAATGAGTTAGGTCAAAAGTCATCTAAAAGTATACAGAATACATTACCTAAAATGAGTGATCTAGATCACATTACTAACTACAATTTGTGTGTAATTTGTACCCAGCACTGGACTAGTAAAACGGTTTGCTTTTTTCAGAAGAGGCTGTGTTAAAAAGAATAACACACATAGGCCTTTATGGAAAATATCAGCTATTTTGTATATAAATATTTGCTTCAAGCCTCTGGGAAATTATACTGCATTTGAATCGCTGCTTTAATAATCGCTCTGTTCACTTACAAGAACACGGACACTTTGTCCCAGGTAAAACAGACCGATGCAAATATGAAATTAAGACAATAAAAAAAAAAAATATATATATATATATATATAAGCAGCTCCATCTATAGGGCGTACTAAAAATATAATTAAAATAAAATGTAGGCCCTGACTGACTTTCTAATATGAAGTCTTCAAATTGTGTCGTTACAGGATTCGTTCATAAGAGGTCGTAAGAGGCCATGATATTTGTGACAACATTTCAGAGCAATTCTGGTTTTTCACGTCTCACGTTTCATAAGCGTGTCAGTGCTGGATGATACAAAGATGTAGAGCCAGTCAGAAATGATGTTAATAAGCTCGATTGTTAATAAAAATCTCTTCCACTATCCATATGTGTCCCGTCCATCCTAAACAGAGTTCTTCCCCAGGTGTTGCAACTGACATTGAAGCACATATGTCTCGATTTCAGCCTAAATGTTAGTGCCTCCGTGAGGCGTGTCTCTGCTGAATCACTGCTGTCACGAGGACAGGGCGCTGGCCGGAGCTCTGTAAACACTGTTTGAAGGGAAAGGCCCGAAATGGGAATACAATGGCAAGCTATGTTTACTGTCAACTATAACAAAATGAAATTAGGCATGAAACATATGTTGATAGTCTTTTCTTCCCTATTGTGACGTGTATCCGAGTGAAACTTCTTCGCGAACAAGTACAAATGTAGGGAGGAACCACTGATCGATCTCATGTGAGTGACAGGTTGTCCCGCTCTCGTGTCAGTAGTTGCAAGAGGAAAGTAAAAAAGAAAAAAAGATCCTAATTAAATGCTTGAAAAAAACTGTGATGACGCGTTGTTACGGTCATCATCAGCATCGTAAATCCTGCGAAGTTTCTTATATTTAAATTTTTATATTTTTTTAATGTACATTTATAACACTGTAGTTTGTATTATTTTACATGTTTATCTAATTTTAAAAAAACTAGTTAACGTAAAGTGTTGGCGGCTGTGGGAGTGACGGTAACATTTCTTTCTCTCTTCCGGCTGCCATTACCAATCTCTCTGTATATGTTTTTTATTTTTTATTTTTTTACTCTTTTTGAAAGTTATGAAAACACTATTGTGGAGTTTTTCTTTTGCTAATCAAGCAAATGGAAACACAAACAAATATTTATTTAATGTAGTCTCTCATAGAAGTTCAACACAACTACGACGACTTCCGTTTCTGAAAACCCTGAAAATGTGAAAACGGGTCTATTTTGATTAAAGACTACGAGGACACATGAATTAAAAAAATAAAAAAATAATGATGTGCACGGATAAAACATTTATAATAAATACTGCAATATTTATTTAAAAAATAAGAATTTTTATTTCATGGTGACTTTATAAGTAATAGTCCAAGCATCATGTAAAAAAAAAAATGTTTTCAGTATTTAAATAATATATTACACGCATTAACTAACTTTCTCATTCGCACTCATTCGTCCAATCAGAGAGTGTATCAATCCGCGCACATGGCTTTGTCCTACTGGACCGCAGTCTAATGGCGAGCCTACGCGGAGGGATATTTGAGGGACTACACCCAGAGTGCCGTACAGCCGGGACTCTTTACTGCTCAAACTCACATTAGAGAAGGGGGCGTGCAGGACAGGACGGGACTCTCACAAATATACGGTAACCGCAAACTGAGACCGCACAAGACTGTCAGTCCCGTCTTTTCAGAGCAAGTGTCGTGTGTGAGCGTTTGAAACCAGAAGGCGAACATGTCGTGGCAGAGCTACGTGGATAACCTGATGTCGGATGGCAGCTGCCAGGACTCCGCCATTGTTGGGTGCAACTCGGACTCAAAATACGTGTGGGCAGCGCAGGAGGGGGGGACGTTCATAAACATCACGGTAAATAAGTGTTATTAACACAACAGCTCTCTTCCTGCTGCATATGTAACGTTAGTCATTGACTGAAAACTGTGGCTGTGTGTCAGTCTGCCTCCCTAGACTCGCAATGCGCCTCTAAACTGCTGTTTAGCTGGAGCTAAAGCGCAGAAATGCAGCTTAATTTAATACGCATCAGACGCGGTTTATTTTACATCGCGTAGATTGAAGTGTGGTTTAAACGAGTTGGTTTAAAAACGAGCCGAAATAAACAGTTTGTTAGAAATCCAGGGCCTGATCAGCTTGAGTGGGAATGAAAGCTAACACTGGCTGGACAAAAGCAAATTGAACACCAGATGTTTAATTTGGAGAGGATTTTTTCATCAAGTATTAAAGTTTATTGTATACTTTTTATTTATTTTTTATTTAGGCTAAATCCTGTCGCTGTATCATCGAGGTTAACTGGATGTCTTCATCGAAAAAACGAAATACAGGACGTTGAGACGTTAAAAATCAAGTGTCGAGCGTTAGAAGTTAAGATTGAGAAGGTTTAAAGTTAAAGAAATGTGTTTTGCAGTCATAAAGAGGGTGGTGTTGTTAGTGCAAACAGGCCGATCAGACTCTTAGATCACCAGACTACGCTCACACACTTGTGTACGGGAACACACGGGTCATTCCGCCGCGGAATGTGCGTAAAGTCCTTCGTGAATGCGGGATCCTCGCAGTACCTGCCAGTCCAAGATGGCGCTCAATAAACGGGTGTTAATCATGGTGTTAATTCATCTAATAACAGGCTTATTTATCACACCGTCCTTTACTTTCCCCAGCTTAATGCCCCGCATTCGATGGCTGCATATAAGGTTAAAATATGTAAACATTCGTTTTACATTTATGTTAACAGGTTAAAGGGATCGCCGAAAATTAAAAAATAAAAATCTATTAATTCAATATCTTACTCTCATGCCGTTCCAAACATGTAAGGCTTGCTTTCATATTATTCAAAATAATATATTAATGTTGGTAATCAAATAGTTTTGGTGGCCAATGACTTTCATTGAATGGATACTTGGATACAGAAATTTCTCAGAATAACATCTTTTATCTTCCACAGAAGATAGTCAGTCATACGGGTTGGAACAACATGTGGGTTGATGAATGATGACAGGATTTTCATTTTCATCAATATCAGATGTATAGCTGACATATAAGTATTCTGTACAAATGTATTCATTCATGACATTTATTCATAACTTCCGTATTCTGTAAAACGGGTTGCATCGTTTCAGATTCAGGCCCTCATTAAATTAATAAAGCCGTTTTACTCAAGATGCCTTCAAATGAGCTGCCAAAGATGACCATTATGCATATTGATATCTAAAAATGTTATTTTTCTTCTTATCACTAATATTCGGATATTAATACCCTGATAGCACAAGTACATCTCGGAGATGTCTATTTGATGTCAGCTACATCTGCAAGATGTATTTTTGAGAGTGTTTGCTCATCTGCAATAAGACATTTCCTATTGTAAGATGTCATATTATAGACATTTAGAAGATGTCTTTAAGATTTGTAAAACACTGTTTTTTTTTTCTACGACGTTTATTAGCTGTTTTTACACAGCAAATGCTTTCCAGATTAACAGATCTTTAGCAGACATCTTACTGACACACCTGTGCTATCTGGGTATGGAATAAAAAGAAATAGCTTGGTTAGCTGATTACCTTAAACGTCCCTTTTATATCGCTGTCATTTTCTACTGCTGTTAACACTTTCTGACGGGCGGATGCGAAAACCTGTTTTCCCGTTTGTTCATGTGACGTTCGGCGTGAAGATACTTGCAGGGTTCCTATGGTCATGGAGTACCTGGAAATATTAAGGAACTTTAAAACTGAATTGAAGGTCTGGGTAATTTCAAAATCAGAGTTGTTTTCTTCTTGTTAGGCTCGGTTCTGAAACATTTCTTCCGCTAGATATTGCTCTTGGTGAGTAATTCTAACAAGAACTGTCAAGATGGAGGAAAAAAAACTTAAAAGACTGGAAAACTCATGGGAATTCAATGGTTAGAAGGTGAAGGGATCCTTATATTGGAGGTTGACTGCAGTGCTGTAGGAATAGGAGTCTATTAAGGACAGTTTTAATGGGTTTTCACTATGGAATGAGATTGTAAAAGTTGTTGTGTGTGTACTTTTATCTTTCTTCCTTAGAAACTTTCACCTTACTGAATTATTACTGAGGCTCAAATGAATCAAGTTGTTGTTGTAAGGCGTCTCCATCCCAAAATTGAGTCACCTCATGTTGCTCCAAACCTGTAGGACTTCTTCCGTTAAAGCTTGACAGCCTCAGCCAGTCGCACGGGTTGGGAATGGCAGTCAGAGTGGGTTTTGCCTCTTAGGTTCCTGTGTTGCTGGCCAAGTATGAGTTTAAAAAGGCTTCTTAAGAGTTAAAGTTAGTTGAGACTGTGTCCACTGCCATACCAGCGCTTCCGAACCTTCCTGGAAATAACATCAGCTGGCTGATTCTCACCGAAGAGTAGCTGCTTTTAGTGGTTTGGCCTCAGGGAAAAAGGCTCGGTAGATTCGTAGTGAGCCAGAACAAAAAGAGGAGCTGCTGTGATGAGCAAACGACAATGAAACCAATAAGAAAACTGCACGTTCAGACTTGATCTTTCAGCGTTTGACAAATAAAACCAATGTTTAATGTGATTAATGCATTCCAGTTTGAGGGTTAGGCCGAATGTTTCCCAGATTTGTCGAGTAGAAGCTCCTTTTAAGGAACAAATGAGCTGTGCTTTCATCATACTCCAGAAATATCCTTTTAAATGTTCAGAGAACTCTAGAAATAAACATCTATGATCAAAATAGAGCATATTTAGTCATTGTTGGACAACCAATAGTCAAAATGGTCTAGCTGTTGGTTTGTCTGCATGACTAGTTAAGCAAAGGTGCGGTCACGCATGCGGGTGTTCAGCAAGTTTTCAAGGTCAAAATCAAGTCATTTAAAAGGAATCCACGTGATTGAGGATTTTACCTTTGGGCAAAAGATTTTCCCACGCAGATTTCGCAACTGCTTCAAGTTGGTCGCGCAAATTCACTGGGACTTCGGCGTGAGCTGCGCTTCATGCATCGCTACACTATTGACAATGGGCCTTTTTGCCCACAAAATTGTGCGAATGTGAACTCACTAACTCTTTCCCCGCCAGCGTTTTTGAGGAAAGTTGTCAGTCAGTGCCAGCATTTTTTTAAACTTTTCACAATTTCATGGCCCCCAGAATATTTTGTTGGATGAATATCTGAACATGCGAAATATCAAAAGCAAGAACAAAGCTTCTGCTTTTAAACAAACCCTTTTTATGCTTCATGCATTCTTTTTTTTTAATCAACACTTGAATTTTGGTAAGTTTCATAAAAAAGCAACATTTTGATCAGGAGATTCAGTACTCTTTCAGAAGATGTGTAATAGCGCCGCCTACCGTATAACAGTAAAACAAGGAGCCATTAGCCATGCCTCAATTTCACAAAAACTCCCATATGTATCTCACAAGAGTTTTTGCGCTCGCATGAGGTGGTTTTTCAGGCAATTCGAAAAAGTATTTTTTTTGCCTTTACAGGTCAGCTGGCGTACGTATCAGTCGATCACTCTTTAAAGAAGGCGCGGTATGTCTGGACAGAAGACGAGACCGAGTTCTTCATTAAACTCCTAAAAGACAAACGTATCATGGGAATACTGGACTCTAAACAACAAAGAAATGCCACAATTTATCAAGACCTTCAGCAGATATGAGGGAGGAACACCCAGAAACGGCTCATATGAGCCGCTCCCAAGTATAAGGGGCTTTACTTGCCAATAATGCTTGTATACACGCCTACGTCTCCTTCCCTTCAAAATAATGGCTAATACGGTGGCTGCGATATACGTAAACCTGTAACATCCGCTGCCTTGGTTTCTGGAATGACTTATCGCGAGAGGGAAAAACATCGGTTAATGGAAATGCTGTCTTTTTTTAAAATCGGCATTTAGAAAAAAATCCCAAAAGTTTTGCGCAAATCTGTATAATTTTATGGGTAAAATCCAGTAATTTCAATCGATCAGCGTTTTGTGTGAGGGCGATAAAAGGTTCCCCTCACATATTTCGTTCATAGTTCAAATTGGTCACGCAAACGCACCACATTGACCAACAGAAAACTGCTTGCTTTAGAAATGACTTTGAGCTGTTCATGCATTTCACAAATGAGACGCCTCATGAAATCTCAATGGAGTTGTCCGGCAGATGTCAACAGTTGTGTTTCCAGCAGCCTGTCGTTCGTCTGTCCACACTGAAAGTGAAAATGTTGCACAATAACAGTGAGTTTCACTGACTGACTAGCCCACCATACTGACTCTCGGAGGCTTTAGTATGAAACTGCATAATGAACTTTTGATGCAGTCTTAATGATTCATTGATGTCAAGTGCAAAGTTCCACTTCTGTCTCTTTAGTTTATCCAAATTATCTGCATGGATCTTTCCATAATTCATCTACCTGCCTTCCTACATTTGTTGATTTGCATTTGGCTGATCATTAATCCATAATAAAATGTAAAAGACTAGACAAGAAGATGCAGTTCCACAACTAATGTTTTTTTTTTTTTCTAATATCAGCCAACAGAAATCGACGTCCTAGTAGGGAAAGACCGAGAAAGTTTCTTCACCCACGGCCTGACCTTAGGTTTAAAGAAGTGCTCGGTTATCCGGGACAGTCTCCACGTCGACAGTGACTGGACGATGGACATACGGACGAAGAGTCAAGGAGGAGAGCCAACATACAACATTACTGTCGGGAAAGCTGCCAAAGGTAGTAGCCCTTTCTTATATTCCTTCACATTTACCTTTTATTCATAATAACTACATTTATTTATTTTTTTCCAATGGTAGATGGATAATATAGCAATGTAGATGTCAACCTTTCAAATACTGTATTTCATATGGGGCTCTTTTAATAAGTGAAAGTAAAGTTTTTAAATAGGTTGAAAGAGCTAAAAATAGACGACAAATGCCATCTAAAGCCTTTAGAATTTGGTGTTGCAAAGTAACGCCAGGAGTTTGGGAGAATAAAACCAATCTAAAAGTAACATCTCATTGACTAGCTAGTCATTTCACACGGCCTCTGTTGATCACGAGTGTTGAGGAAGTCTCTGAGACCTGTTGAGGTACATTCCCTCTCAGTTGCATGCGTTTCTGCTAATCAAACACACCTCTTGGGTCTATTGCACTTTAAAATGCGAAAGGTTTTCCTGTTTCCTGAAAATAAAAATGTTCCTTCGTGAATCAATCTCACTGCATGTGTTGAGGAGAGGAACTAAACCTGCTTTCCTGCTTTTGATTTCACATACTTGCATTTAAATGTTCAAATAAGTTAAATGTTTGGTCATTTACTGGACCAACAGACCTAATCGAAATGGTAACACTATAATTAGGGATGTCCCGATCAGGTTTTTTTGCCCTCGAGTCCGAGTCATTTGATTTTGAGTATCTACCGATACAGAGTCCCGATCCGATACTTATATAATACATAAAAAAAGAATAAAGAAGAGAGAAAAAACAGATCCAGGATGTTCCTTATTTTTTTATTTAATTCACCTTATTTTAACATTCAACAACTGTTAACAAACAGAGCACTTCTGTGAGGTAGCTTGAACAATCAAGTAATAAATAACATAAAATCTTCACTTTTGGACTTTAGTTCAACAGTAAATATAGAAAAAGTCTAATATAAAAACAAATAGCTCCTCAACTTAAAATACCTGGCAGACATATGTAAACAAAAAATAAAAATGTTTTAAAAGTGTATAAAAAAATGAGAATATATATATATATATATACATTAGGGGTGTAACAGTTCACAAAATTTGCGGTACGATACAGCAAAAACAAAGAAATGCCAGAGAAATTTCCTATTTATTAAAAGAAAAACTATTTTTAAATAAGTTTGAGTTTTCCTACATGTTGAAACTTTCAGGTTTATAAATGGGGGTTATCTTTGAAGAATTAACAAATAATGTTTTGGTCATCACATTAAAAATAACATTTAAATATATATTTATATAATATTTGAGTTTTGAAGTGCAACATTAAATCCATGTTCATTCACGGCACAATGTTTCTCCTGGTTCCCATGTCAGCGCTGTTTGATCTAATAGAGATCTACGGTTAATAACGGAGAAATGTGAATGCTTCTCACTAGATCTCGCAGCGATGTTATTACTTCAGTGGCGAATTCAAATGTTTTCTTTACTGGATCTCTTAGCACAGTGTCGCTTGATCTCGCGCTGCACGGATGTTGCTGGTCCGCACTGATAAACGGTCCGTGAAGCATATAATGAGTAGCGCAGTTTCGTTCCGCTTTCATTACGCTTGCCATTTGATGTTGCGCAACGTTGTGGTGGTCGCGCCAGCGCGGATTTTGTCCGTTACACCCCTAATTTACATATATCCGAGTCCTGATCGGGAGGTAACGTCCGATTCCGATCAAGTCTGAAACCACGTGATCGGGCCCGATTTCCGATCGCGTGATCGGATCGGGACATCCCTAACTATAATAACTTTCTTTATATCTCAGTGCTGTTGAATTCTTGATTCGCATTAATAAGGTGTTGAAACGTGAAGCATCTACAGGTCTTCACCGCATTACAGGCAAATCATTTACAAATGAAGTAGTTTCATTTAAAGATGCTCTATGTAACTTTTAGCGGCCTCTAGTGGTGATGTTTCAGATTGCAACCAAATTTTACAAGAGCGCTCGTGCTTGAACTCATAGACAATACCGTCTATTACGCAAATATCTCGGCGAATACTTGACGGATTCGGCGAGCACCGAGCTCGTTGGGACCATCTAGTCGAGCTGAAAAGAACCATATAAGTTCCATAGTTTTTGGTGGTGTTTTCGCGGAGATATTAGCAGAAAACCATCGGGCGCGCTGCAAAATTGCGGACGCCGGTGACGTCACGATCTCAGAAGAAAATCGCTCGTATCTCTGGAACGCAAAGACCCAGAGAGCTCAAATTCGGGGGAGGAGGTCCCAGGGGAACCCTTGCCCGAACGCTAGAGTGGCGGGCCTCGGGGATGCCCCCTACCGGATCGCCGCTCGCTGGGACCCCCGATTTCGAACGGCTATAACTCGGGGAGCCGGGCGAGTTGGACCTCGGGGGTGGGCTCGTTCGAAAGGCCCCGTCCAGCACTACGAACGATTAGAGTCTTGGGAATATTGATCAAAGATTGACTGAGATATAAGCCGAAAAACGTGCGCCTTTAACCGGACGTAACTCCCTGACCGTCTACAATAGACTGTATATAAGGAGAGAGGCTCGGGAGCGCGCGTGCACGTCACATCCGTTGGATTTCGCGGTAAATCCGACCCGGAGACTTCACATAGAAATAGGAATACTGGCCTTCAGAGGTAATAGCAAAACTCGACAAGTGGATCATTGTAATGTGTGATTACAACCCCTTCACACACAGGCAATAAAAAAAGGATTCATTTTAGTAGAAAAGTTACATAGAGCACCTTTAAGTGTTGTAAGGATGAAAAACTTGTGAGATAAAAACATGTAAATCTTAAGATGTGGTGATCGTGGTATAAAGCGGGATAATTGATAATAAATTAATGCCATATTACCACCTCAGATGTGCATAGCGGCCCGTCGTCAATCATTACTTTAGTTATTAACTATATATATATATATATAACTCCCAGCGGTCCTTAAGTGCCGAACAAAGCTTTATTTTTAAAATGATCAGTGCCATAAACCTCGCAGAATATGGTAAATGTTAATGAAAGTTATTAAAAGGTGTTGCCAGTCGTAGCTGAATATAAAGGTGTTTCCTCTAGCCCGCGATCTTTCACTCCGCATGCCTGTTATCCTGATCTCTTTCTGCTTTTGATTCTGTCCTATCTCAGCTTGTTGATCTTGCTTTGGCTTTTTTCTCCAGGGCTGGGATTTCCCTGTCCTCTTAACTTCCTTTCTCTGTCTTTCTCTTTCAGTCTTGGTTCTTGTAATGGGCAAAGAAGGGGTCCACGGAGGCGGCTTGAATAAGAAGGCATATTCAATGGCAAAATACTTGAGAGATTCAGGGTTTTAGCTTCTTCTTTCTTTTTTCTTGATCAAGTAGTGAAATTTAGGGAGGGAAAAAAAACAAGTCACCCACGTTCCCAAAATAAGCTGTGAAGATATCCCCCCCCCACCCCCCCCATTGAAACACATTTAAAGTTTTTGGACATCTTAATGGCAAGGAAGGGTAATGAATCTTGTGTCAACAATTGCATCCCTTTTTTGAGTTGGGAAAGTTGTTTCTTTTTTTCCCCCGCCCCTCAAGTTTGTTGATTTTTGTTCTTGTTTGTTTTTTTCCTTGTGTACTCCAGCATTGGTTATAGTCATGGGCAAGGAAGGTACCCATGGAGGGCTGCTCAACAAGAAAGCGTATCAAATGGCTGAATACCTGAGGAAATCTGGATATTAAGACACCCGCCCACCTAGCCGCTCATTCCTACCAACACTAACCTTTCTAGGAGAGATTTGCTTAATCGTTTATTTGTTTTCAACTCTAATTTCAACTTTCTGTTTCCTATACATGTTCGAAATAAATAAATACACTTCTTTTTCTACCCAAACCCATCCTTTCCCCAATTACTTTATAACCCCGTCCCATATATGCCCATTTATTGTTCGTTCCCATATTGCTAAACATGATGCATTTAAGACAAAATGTAAGTCTCATTTCTGCTTATTCATGAAACAAAAACGAACATTTTGGGTGTTTAGTTTTTTACCAAGGGCTTGAGCTAAACTAAAATTCCCGAAAGGTCGAGTGTATGCATATCTTTGAATGGACCTTAGTCGGGATGGGCGGCACTTTTAATTTGACACCAATTGTCATTAGCGCCAAATTAAATATGCCGTCTGCGCTAACAAATGTCCATTTCTTTAGTTTTCCCTCAACCCAAAGTTTGTCGTCATTGGCGCCTCAACTCTACCTGTAGATGCGACACTTCCTGAATGACAGATTCATATTCGTTCCCTTTGTCGCGCTAACATTCATGGATAGGGAGGTCGAGCTCTTAAATAGCTGGCGGTCCGTTGAGTGCAGTGGTTTTTGGGCTTCGGTAGCATTTTCTCCCATCAACCCCATATTGAATGTTCATGGACATTCCGTCATTGCACTTGTTTTGCTAGCTTATGTAATATATCTTTTTTATTTTCAAGACGACTGCCATTTGAGACGGTGTAGGCGCTTGGAGTATACAGTTTGAATTCTTTCATTTGGACCAATTTTCCTCATTGCTTGGGTTATTTACACACTACGTTGACCAACGAAACACTAGCGTCTGGACACAAATAAGACTTCGGTCTTGTTTGGCCAGCTCTTTCAACACTTGAATTGAATTTAACCCATGAATGAATTGTCATGACTGTGGGATAAATTGCCTTCGAGTCATGTCTCTCAAAACTTGATGTTTTATCAAGTCCAAATGTGTAACACTCACTCCAATCATAATGTGTATTCTGTGCCATAATGTAGAGCGAATCTGTTGCTATTGATTCAGACAGCTTCCCAAAGGATTCTATCAGTTCTTGGTTCAGGGGTTTTTAGTATCTACAGAATATTTGTACAGGTTCAAAACCTCTCGACTATTGTTCATTTCTTGTCTCCCTGTACTTTTTTCATACATCTTGGATACAGTCTGATATGTCTGATTTCATATGCATAAACCAAGAAATGCCATAAATTAATCTCACCACCTTGTTTACAGACAAATTAAATAAATCTATTCCAACCAAATTACTCGTCTGTTTCTTTTGCTGCATGTTATTTTAAAGGGGTCATTTCATTAGGAGTCTGTTTTTCTCAAAGTAGATGATAAGCTAGAATATCCTTAGTTTGTACAACAATTGGAAAATGTTAATGGAAAACAAATGTTTCATTGCACAAACAAAAAGTCCTATTTTGCACACAAAGAAATGGAAAAGTTGGGCTTTTTTGTCCGTTTTGATAATTTTCACGGTCCATTTTTGTTGATTGTTGCATTAAAAGTTTAAAACAATTGGAAACTTTACTAGGGCAGTGCGATATTGAAGAAAAATGTGATATTTGATAATGCTTTGTGTGTAAAATAAATTTAAATTATATTCAAATATAATTAAAAACTGAAAATTATATTCTTTTTGTGAGAAGAAAGCATCCCTACAACTTCTAAACGTGAACCGCAGAGTTTACTGTGGCATTAGCCTACATTAAAGTGTCATTTTAACGTCTAGTGTTTCAGGTATGCCTACATTAGGTTTATTCAACAACAGAAAATGTAATAATCAAATGTAAAAACAAAACACTGCTTAGTCTGACTCTTCACAGTATGAGTTAAATATATGCTGATTCTTATTAAAGCTACATTTAGTCAAGACTGTCACTTTACAATCGGCACATCCAATATACTGTTACACGTGTGCCGTTTAGTCCACTTTAGACATAACTGACTGTGTGTGTGTGTGTGTGAATACTCACCCAGATGGGCTTTTTGACATTTTGTGTATATAGATAAGCGGCGGAACTGGATTCAGGATCAAGCGCTGTCCGACTGGTGGCTTTCTGTGCTAATTGCATTTAATAACATTAAGCATGTCACGTATGTAACAGTCATGTGTCCAGTCTATTCTGTTCATCTAAAGCTTGGACTTTTCGTAATATTTAAAGTATTAAAATCATTATCCTAAGCCATTGCTTATGTACATTTGCAATATTTCGATATATTGTGTAGCAATACTTCACCATACCTTCAGCCATTATTAAAAAAATTGTTAATAGGGCAACATTTCATTATTTATCTGGTCATGAACAACAAAGAATTTGAGGAAACCTGCAATCTTTTTTCCCCCTAAAGAAAACGATCAAACTAAAATCAGATTTTTTTCACACACACAAAAAAAGAGATCATAAGCTAAAAGGCGATTAGGGTTTATTGCGCACAAATTGAAATTATTCATGAAGTTTTATTACACAAAACAACATTTCATTGAACCTTTTTTTGCACACAAAAATGTAAAACAGTTCTAAAAAACCTAAACTATTTCCCCCTTATAGGTCCATTTATATATGTTTATATAGCGTTTTAAATAGTCTTAAAACCTTTCCAAAATGATGGATGAGAAATTGAGACGAAAACAGCAAAAGGTGTAGCATTTTATTCATGAAGAGAAATGAATATAGACTACTTAGAAACAAGGGTGAGCAGAAAGACATATTTACAGTAAAGCAACATTAAAAGGCAAACAGACATTGGTAACGGTTATCAAAAACCTCCTACTTACCCAACTTATCTCCTACTTACAGTACATAAATGTTAAACTACACTTCGAGTGACTGATATTTAGAACGGCTCCACTGTTAATGATCGAACTAAAAGTGTGACATCAGTGTCAGTACAAGTTCAATAATAAAGTCTCATTGTGTCGTATAAAACATGCAGTTGTTCGCGATCGGATACACGTCTGAGATGAGTCTGGCGTTTTGTCAGCAAGCACAAATTACATTCCCAGAGGTGACGCTCATCTGCGGAGGCTGGCAAACATGTGCGCGATACATTTCGCAGGATCTTTTGAGGAAGGGGGGAGGGGGGATCGTGATTTGTAGAAAATGTTGCTGTATCTTAAACTCCGAACGATAAATTGTAAGTGATGGTGAAACGTATTGGAATCTCTATTAAGAGTCCGAGTTGTGATTGGCTAACGTTTAAGCGTCGGCCTCCATGTTGTCGGGACGCCCCTGTTGCAGCTGTACGACGACCGTTTCCACGGTGACCGTTTCCACGGTGACCTCCTCCTCGCTGTCGGTGGTGTCGCTGTGCTCGTCGTAGTCCGACGACTCCACTTCGCGCTGGGATGGCGAGCCAGACATGGTGCCAAAGGAATGGGCGCTGGTAGAGGCCAGGGATCGCAGCAGGGGCGTGTTTTCCGAAACTTCGTTCTCCTCGCCTCCGCTGTCCCCGGAGTCGGACTCAGACTCGGAGTCGCCGTCGGACGGCACCACTTTTTGCTTGCACACCGGACACGTCTTCTTGGTTTTGGTCAGCCACGGGTCGACACACTTGCAGTGATAGGCTGATAATTGGTGCAGAGAGAATTAGTGCGAGAGATCCTGACAAACGTCATCTATTAGTTACTGATGGATCAGAAACCTTGAAGTGTATCATCAAAGTTATACATGAATTTTGAACGATACTCGTTCTTGTCTCAGGACAACTTTGATTAACTTTTTTGATCCACTTCTAAAATTTAAAATGATTCTTAAAGCGATAGTTCTCCCTGAAATGAAAATTAAGTCATAATTTACTCACCCTGGTGTTGTTCTAATGCTGTATAATCACGTTCTTCTTTCTTATTCGGACCACAAAAGAAGATTGTATTGAATTAAAAATGTCCCGCTGGCACTCATAATGGCAGTGAATAGTGACCAGCATCAAGCTTTTTAACCCTTGTGTTCTGTTCGATTTCTGTGTACACCCCTTATGGACCGGGTCAAATTGACCCTAATTGGACTCAAAGCAATTCCTCAAAAATCACACTATGAAAAACAACAAAGATTTAGATACAAACTGTAAACTTTTAATATCAACATTTGTCAAACATTACAAAAACATTATATCTGAAAATATGATTTATGAAAATGTTTTTAAAACATTTTTTAAAACAGTTTTGTTTTGACAAAATTGGAAAATAAACAGTATACTGATTTTTTTTTGCATATTTTTTTTTTTTACATTTTATGCTTTGAACATCGTAACTGAACAAAAAAAATTGCTGTATAATGAAAATTTTTCATTTTCCTAAGTTAACTTTCCCTAGTTTCCTAAGACCTATTTTCCTAGTTTCATTATTCACTCACTGGGAAGTGAGAAACCAAACATAACAAAAACATACATCAAATAAATGTTTTTTATTTATTTTTGGCTCTGTGAAGCTGCCTTTGAAAATCCTACACAAAAGTTTTGGTTAAAAGCTAGGTATTTTAGATATGTTGAATATTGAAATGAGAGCTTATTTTACTATCTGTGTCTGACAAAGATTTTCATCTGTAATTTGCAAATAATTCTGAACACTGTAATTTTAGCTTTTTCAAGTGTGTTTGGTTAGGGTTAGAGCACTTTTAGATACACTTGCAGGTTAGAACTGGAGTTGAAGTGCCCTGACATACAGAAAATAAATGTTTTTATTTTGTGTCTGTACAGTTGCTTTTGAAGGGCTGTCTATGAGGGTCAAATTGACCCACGAACATCACGAACGTAACAGTAATTTTGTTTGTATATGTCAAAACACATCAGCATGTTGAAACTTTGCATGCATGTTCATCATGATAAATGAGAAAAAGTCACAAAATATCAAGAAAAAAAACAAAGGTTAACCAGTATTTCCAACAACTTGAAAATCGAAACGGGTCAAATTGACCCGCAACATAACACAAGGGTTAAAAAAGAGGCATCCCATGATCCCATGCAACTCGAGACGTATAGTCCAAGTGTTCTGGGGGTTTATGATAAGTATGCCATTATATACCTCAAACAAATTAACATTTTATCTGTTATTTAATGAAAATCCTGACCTTGGTCTTCTGTGCTCGACTGAGACTCGATGGGCGTTTGAGTTCGCCCAGAAAAACACACGTTATGAGACATCAAGGCTATCAAAAACGCGACAAAACACAACCCATGTATCTTCTTCTCCGAGGCGAATATATCCGCTGTGTTCGTCGTAAGAATGA